AGAAAGATACCTTGCAAGGGGTCAGGACTCAAAAGCAATCACAGCATGCCGCTAAGAAATGCCACAGTGAATTCAAATAATTAATCACCTGCCAAAATTAATAAATGTAATAACTACCTCACCCAAAGCGAAGGGGAAAAAAAAAAAGCTAGAATGGTCTCTCTACCTCAGGGTCCCACAACCTTGGCGACTTGAAGACGTGTAGACTTCAACTCCCAGAATTCCCCAGCCACCAACCTACCCCGCAGGACTGTCATTCCAGGAAAACACCTGTGTGTGTGTGTATAGGCGAACGCATGCGTGTATGTGTATATATACACACGCACAATAATGAAGGCTGTGAGTTCGATCCTAGGTAGAGGCGAATATTTGGAATAGACTGTTCCCAGCTCGAGCAGGGGGTTGGACTAGATGACCTCCAAGGTCCGTTCCAACTCTATTATTCTATGCGTTTCTATGCTGAGTGCTTATTAATTCATTGTTTTTCAAGGAGAGGACAAATAAGACAAATGCTACTAAAAATAAAACGTTAGCGTTTTATTTATTCATTGCTAACATAAAATTTCGGGAATGAAATGCAGAATGAAAAATGTGACACATCTTTGTGCCTCTAAATCAGTCTCAAAACACGCAACTGAAGGAATCCGCTTTTGAGATCCTGGATGAAAAGCGGGGTGTGTGTGTGTTGATCTAAGCCGGAACTAGCTAAAATAAATCATCATTGTGTGATCTTTGGTGCTCTCTGGGCTTGGTTCTTCACTTGTGGACATTTCATGACCCAATTAGGTAATGCCATGAGTGCTAGAAGGGATTGTGGGGTTTGGGAGGAAGAGGAGGAGGAGGAGGAAGAGCACAAGGAGGAGGAGGAGGAGGACTCTGGGGTCCTTGATGGTCCCTGAACTTGCTTGTTTCCTTGCAGACATTTTATTACCATATTAGGTAACCTCATCAGTGCCAGAAAAAATAAATTGGATTGACTTCTCTCTGTTTATATACAACTAGCTTGCAGCGTTGGTGAGAGGGTTGTTTTCTCATTGATAGTTCCTTGATTAGGTTGTTGCTTACTATTTGACTGATTGTCTGAGTTGGAAGTATGTAATCAGGGAGCCAACCTTACTCCCTTTTTAGCACTGATGATGTTACTTAGTTGGGCAATGAAACATCTGCAAGAAAACAACCAAACTCGGAGAGCACCAAGGACCCCACAGCCCTCCTCCTCCTCCTCCTTCCATCCCTCCTTCCTAGCACTGATGATGTTAGCTAGTTGGGTAATGAAACATCTGCAAAAAAATCAGTTACACTCAGAGACCACTAAGGACCCCACAGTCCTGCCGTCTCTCCCTCCTCCTCTTCCTCCTGCTTGTTCTGACCGAGGCTCCCCAAGATCACGGAGCAGACCCCTCATGCCGATAAAACCCCTTTTATTTAGGTTAAAGGGAATTCCTCTCCAGCAAAGTCCCGGCCAACTGTCTTTCAAGAGATTCCACAACTGCAGACCTTTATCAGGCTTGGAGAGTTGCCAGGCTGATATCTTCCAAACGCCACGCTGTAGCAGCAGTCACTTGGCAAGGAGTCAGGAACAGACATTCACTCTAAGGAATTGAATTGTCTCCTGCAAACCCCACTCCCCTTTCGCTCCTCTTTTATTCCCTATGGGAGGGGCCATTCACCATCCACTTGAGCCTTTACTCCTGAGTTGACCCTTGTTCCTTAGCTGTTCCCTTCTCCTGGCAGCTCTGTGCATGCGCACACTGGGAACAGGCTCCCGCTGTTCTTCTACCTCACTGATGTCCGACTCCAAAGGCAGCTGATAACTGCCCTGGCCCCATCTCTGCCTCCGATGCAGAGCCCTCGTCAGAGCCTTCCCCGGACTCCAGGACGGGCCCATGTTCCTCCCCAGCCTCCTCGCCGTCCGAGTCTGCTGGCCGCTGCTAGGCCACAACACTCCTCTCCACAAGCCCCATTCTCTCCTACCACTGATAACGTTACCTAGTTGGTTCATGAAACGTCTGCAAGGAAACCGCCAAGCTCAGAGAGCACTAAGGACCTCACAGCTCAACCCTGATCAACAAATATGCTCCTCTAAAATTATACCCACGCAAGATTCTGGCAGCCCCAGTGCTGGTGGGGTAGGCGACGTGTTTCCCTCCACCCATCTCTCCTCCCTGTTCCACGCTTTCACTCCATCACAGCCTGGTTGCCTGTGAATAAGAAAAGAGGACAGCTGTCACTCTGCAGTCGAAAGACTGAGCATCGAGCGCGGGAGATTGCAACGAGAGAAGAGGGAGCATTTCTCTCGTGCGCAGGGAGCGGAGAGGGGGGGACTGAAGGAAGAAGGACGTTTCTTTGGGCTCGCCCCACGCTCCCGTCCCTTGGGTGCCGTTCGACAGCACTCAACCGGCTCGCACCGAGCAGGAGAAGAGAGGATGATGGTTGCGGGTGGGGGGGGGAAATGAGAAGGATTGGCCTACGATTTGTCTGGCGGGCTTTTTCTAGACCATTGGAGCACATCTAATGGGCCGTCGGGCAGGTGGGAGGGTGAGCAGAGCCATTAGGGTCCACAGGAGAGCAATGGGGCGGTGGAGTGGGCCACCCAACAGACAGATGTGAGGTGGGGGGTGTCTGCACTTGAGGGGTGGGCTTTGAGGTCTCGACAATTAGGGGCGATCGGAGATGGCAGGGGTCCCAAACCGCCGCCTGTGGAGGGCTTTAATCAACCTGTTTAGAGCTGGATTCCTGGGTGGGCAGCAGCCCCCATCTCGGCCGGCATGGTTCTCCGGGTTCAAAACAGCGGGATGCCGTCCTGACGTAGACTTTTTGCACACAGGCACAATGCGCGGAATTGCACAGCTGCTTTTTGTGATCTAGAAGAGAATAGGAATAGGATCAGAATAGAACAGAATAGAAAAGAATAGAATAGAAGGATAGAATAAAATAATAGAATAGAACAGAGAATAGAATAGAGAATAGAATTAGAATAGAATAGAATAGAATTAGAATAGGATTAGAATAGATTAGAATTAGAATAGAATTAGAATTGAATAGAGCAGAATAGAGACAAGTAGAATAGAGACGAATAGAATAGAATAGAGAATAGAATAGAATAGGCTTAGAATAGAATTAGAATTAGAATAGAATAGGATTAGAATTACAATAGAATAGAATAGAACAGAATAGACAATAATAGAATATAATTAGAATAGAATTAGAATAGGATAGGATAGAATTAGAATAGAATAGAATTACCGTATTTATCGGCGTATAACACGCACTTTTTCCCCCTGAAAATAGGGGGCAAATGATGTATGCGTGTTATACGCCGATGTCCCGTTCCCAGTAATGCCTAGCGGCGGCGCAGCGTCGTGACGCTGCGCCCGCCGCATATTAAAGGGAATGCGTGTTATACGCCTGTGCGTGTTATACGCCGATAAATACGGTAGAATAGATTAGAATTAGTATTAGTATTAGAATTAGAATAGAATAGAGAAGAATAGAAGAATAGAATTAGAATAGAATAGATTAGAATTAGTATTAGTATTAGAATTAGAATAGAATAGAGAAGAATAGAAGAATAGAATTAGAATAGAATAGAATTAGAATAGAATTAGAATAGAACAGAATAGAGAAGAATCGAAGAATCGAATAGAATTAGAATTGGATAGGATAGAATTAGAATAGAATAGAATTAGAATAGAGATGAATTGAATTGAATCGAATAACAGAGTTGGAAGGGGTCTTGGAGGTCTTCTAGTCCAACCCCCTGCTTAGGCAGGATACCCTACACCACTTCAGACAAATGGCTGTCCAATCTCTTCTTAAAAACTTCCAGTGTTGGAGCATTCACAGCTTCTGAGACAAGTCATTCCATTGATTAATTGACAAAAGAACGGCAGCACAACTGTGTGATGCAGGGTTTGGGGTTTGCCAGATGTGGTGTGGGGGGTGGGTGAGGGAAGGGTGACGATGTGGGGTGATGGCACCACTTGGGTCGGCGTGGAATGTGACTTGTTCCTGGAATAAGCCTGCGACTCAGAGGGGTTGAGCTCAGGTCGGTGACTCAGACGGAGGAGCAACGGGCAGTCACATCTTGGGGAAGCCTCTTTAAAAGTGGTCCTTGACTTCTGACTGGTCATCATCCTTCTTCCTTTTGCCTTCTTTCCTTCTGTTGGTTAGATCTGTCTGGGGCTACTTACGACCCTGGATGGAAGTTCTGATGCTCCGTCTCTCTGTCTGTCTCTCTCTCTCTCTCTCCATCTCTCTCTGTGTCTCTGTGTGTCTTTCTCTTTCTTTCTCTCTCTCCGCCTGTCTCTCCGTCTTTCTCTCCCCGTCTCTATTTCTTTCTCTCCATCTCTCTCTCTGTCTCTGTCTCTGTCTCTCTCCATCTGTCTCTCTCTTTCTCTCTCTCTTTCTCTGTCTCTCTCTTTGTCTTTCTATCTTTCTCTCTCTCCCCACATCTCTCTCTTTCCATCTCTGTCTCTCTCTTTGTCTGTCTTTCTGTCTTTCTCTGTCTCTCTGTGTGTGTCTTTGTCTCTCTCTCCCTGTCTCTCTTTCCCTGTCTCTCCCTCCCTGTGTCTCTGTCTTTTTGTCTTTCTCTGTCTCTCTCTCTCTCTCTCTCT